ACTCAGTCTCTCCCCAACCCCAAGGACAGTCCCATTCTACAACAGTGGCATCATGTAATATTTGTCCTTTTGTGACTGGGATATTTCACTCAGAGTACCTTTGTTTTCTGACTACAGCTTCTTGCATTGTAATATTTTACTTTGTCTTCCTATGCTGCACTTTGGAATCTTCTGTTCAACTTAGTATCTTGATTTCTTTCCTTTTCTTTGGTTTCTCGATGCTCTAGTGCATTCAGAGTTTCTTCTAACATCCATATTGGTCTTTTCTTCCTACTCTGCCTTTGCACTGACCATTTGCATTCTTCCTGGATGATATTCTTGATATCCTCCCACACTCCTCTGGTCTTCACTCATTAGTGTTCAGGGCCTCAAAGCTGTTCCCGAGATGGTTTCAAAATTCAGGCGGGATAGACTCAAGGTCAAATTTTGGTTCCCGTGGACTTGATTTAATTTTTCTCAGCTTCAGCTTGAACTTGCTTATGAGTAGTTAGTGGTCACGATCAGCACCTGACCTAGCTGATATTGAGCTTCTCCAGTGAGTCTTTCCATAGATGTAATTGATCTGATTCCTAAGCATGCCATCAAGTGAAATCCATGTGTATAGCCTCCTTTTATGTTTCATAAATGAAGAAAAATGGATATTGGCAGAAATCTAGCAGCCTCTGCCACACTGAAATGTATAAAGAGAATGCAAGCAAGTAGAGACTTACTCTGGAATGCTCACCATCAGGCCAGTAGGCAGCATCATGATAGATGGAGAAAGGATTGAGTTTGTTAATGATTCCATCTTGCTCAGATCCAGAGTCATCACACTTGGCACCAGCAGTCAGGAAATCAAAAGATGAGTTTCATTGGGAAAATCTGCTGCCAGATATTTCACAAGAATGCTAAAGAGCATCAGTGCCAGTCTAGAGAGTGAGGTGTGCTTAATCCAAGCCACCATCTTTGCAATTACTTGCTATGCATCCGAGAGCTGGATAATGACTAAGCGTGACAGAAGAAGAATTGATGCCTTTTAGTTGTGGTGCTGGAGAAGAGTGTTGAACATACCATGGACAGCCAAGAAAACAAACAGGTCTGTCCTGAAGAGAATGAAACCAAGTTGCTTCACGG